TTTAATAAATTAATACCAATGATAAGCAATTAAGAAAATCTCAAGGCCTCAGATTCCTTTTATATTAAATATAACCTTGGATTAAATGATATTCATTTCAGCCCTGAAATTGTATTAATTCATTGCTATTTTGCTTTAGTATTTGCATTAAGATACAACTTTCACATTCCAAATTGGGAGTCTTACAATTCTATTTCTATCAACTAACTGGTTAGCCAGTAAGACACACACACACACAGAGCTTTCATCAGATTGGATGATATAACCTATCCAATGATAATGGATGGATTATACATCTTTTTTTTTTTTTTTTGGAGACAAGGTCTCACTCTGTTGCCCAGACTGCAGTGCAGTGGACTTATCAAAGCTCATTGCAACCTCGAACTCCTGGGCTCAAGCGATCCTCCTGCCTCAGCCTCTCAAGTAGTTGGGATTACAGGCACGTACCACCACACCCAGATAAGTTTTCTATTTTTTGTGGAGACGGGATCTTGCTCATGCCCAGGCTGGTCTTGAACTCCTGACCTCAAGCAATTCTCCCATCTCAGCCTCCCAGAGTCCTAGGAGTACAGTGTGAGCCACTGTGCCCAGCCCTTATTTTCTTTATAGGTCTTTTACAGAATAGAGTTTTCCAATAAATAGTTTGCTAAGGAAGCCAGAGGTATTCCTCAATTAACAGGAACTAACTTCTGTTTCAGTATAATTAAGTAAAACACAACTTGATGTGTTACCCTTCCATGAAAAACTAAATCACTTAGGCACCTACCCTGTAAAACATAGATCTTCTCTTTGTACTCCACAGCATTATGGAATTCCATTGCAACTGGCATTGCGCAAACAGTTGTCCAACAATTCTCTCTACTGTCGTAGCACTCCACAGATTTTAATGAGTTTCTTCCATCACCTTCATACACACGACCTCCAATTGCATACATTTTACCACAGCAATACACTAGTTTGCAGCCTATTCTGGCTCGCAGCAAGGACGGTTTGGGCAGCCATCTGTTGGTGGAATGATCATACATCCAGAAATCGTTTTCTGCCTTATGGTCGATGGAGACCTCACTGCTGCTTGGTCTGTACCCTCCTGCAATGTAAATGTCATTATCTGGTGATACAAGAATCCCAACTTCTCTCAAGTCATTTGGTGGTTTGCATAGTTTAAACACTCTTCCTGTGACTATATCTAGACAAGGCACTGTTTGCTTCTTTCCTGAGTGTTTGTGGGCAGCATCAAAACATATGATCATTTCAGAAGCAGTCATTCCAAGCCTCTGTGTACAGCCATTGCTGTTGGATGGTCCCTTTTCTACACAGCATTTGGATATAGCCTGTGCAAACTGAGGTGGAATTTTCTCTATAAAGGTATCTTCCATCAAAGGAAAACGTATGCATTTGGCAAAAATTTCTGGAAGGTGCACTTCTCTTTCATTCTGTTCATGTTCAAACCACCTTATAATGCTTTCATAAACATGCTCTTCTCGGTCTACATTTAAATCGTCACTGTCTAGTATACTTATCAGTTGGTCTTTTGTCAACTGAAGAAACTCTTGTTCTTTGGTGACACACAGAAACTTCTTACGAATGTATTCTTTTGATCGATCTCCAAGTTCCTGATGACCGTAATGATCAGCAAAGATAAAGACCCCAATAGAATTTTGTGGGTCCAAATGACTGATCATATACTTAGCACATTGGTCTTGGATGGAAGGAATCTGGAAGATGCTAGCTGCAGTGAACAAGGCTTGAACATTGGCCTCTGTCAGAATAACTCTGGAGGTGTAGGCATAGTTCAACACTAAATCCATTGATTCAGCTTCAACACCGACTATTCGAACTTCTTTTTGAGTACTTTCTGTAAGGCCGCTAGTGAACATGGATCTATGAAGGAAACAGTGGTTAATATATGTGTGCTATAAATAAAAATTACTGTGGCAAATTTTTAAAAGTACAAAGTTACCACCAAGATAAGCTTTTGTA